GCAGGAATTAACACTTCCATAAACCCTGTATCTGAGTCCAGAACAGCTCCCTCTTGTTTTGTTGGCTATGCTGCTCTTGTGACATCTCTCTGCTCCTTTCTTCCCCTCTCCTGGAGAACACTGCAAAGCATGGGGAACTCCAGCTGGAACAGGTGCACATGCATGTCTGAGCTGGCATGACATGAAGTGAGTTAATGGCCATACTTAGATGACAGTGCCCCTGGGTCACAGCTCAGGTATGGATGAACCAGGCTCTGCTAGGCTGGAATAGCAGTGTCTGTCTTCCTGTTAGGAAAAAAAAAATACTGGAAGAATGGAATTATTGCATCTGTTACTATCTTTGGTGTAATCTAGCTTGAATGACCGTACAAGGGATTAACTCTAGCCTAGATTTGTCATGGGAAAACTTGCATTTGCCAGGGATATCAAAGTGCAGATGGCAGAGAAAAACAAGGTTAAATATTTCCCCACTCCCCCCGTCTCTGACCTAGTGAGCAAGAGCTCTGCCTTCTTTCAGCAGTGCAAGCCTGCAGGTAGCTGCTTTCATCCAGAGGAGTGCCTTGCTCCACTTCTTGAGGGGGTTCTAACTGGGGGTGAGGGGAGCAGTAACTGCTCATGAACATCTGGAACTTGCCCCTCTCATCCCAAAGACAAGAGCAGCCCAAATCCCTGAAGTGCAGCTATTCTTCCAGGGGGCTGGGAGTAGGGCTTGGTGTCTGTGGGTGCAGATGGAGCCAGCCCCATGCTGACCCTGAACTTCTCTGTGGAACCAGTAGTGGCAGCTTTGGGAAGATGTCCTTGACTCTTAAGCATTTCAGAGCTGAAGTGAGCCTTTAGCCTCTGGGCTGTGACTTGTTCAGTATGTGACTAGCAACTACAGTGGCACTACCATAAAGTACTCCTAAGTGGCTGGGCTTTGAAGAGCTCCCTTTTAAGCTGATGCTACCAGCCCTAATTTTCACTGCCACTCTGCTCCTGTGTAAGTTTCTTCCACCCTCACCAAACTCTGAGGGAGAAGAGTTACTCTGAAGCTGAGTCTCTGCTATCAGCACTGGTGCTAGGCAATGAGCTATTTTGACAACTCACTTCCTGAAACTGGAGAAGGAGGCTAAAATATCTTAACACTGTCCATTAGTTTGACAACTCTCAACACTTCTGTATTTATCAACTTTCCTGTCTTTACTGAACATGTTAAGGAGCCAGGGAAGTTCTTGTCTCTTGCCTGACTAGAAACCAAGAAACCACAACCACTTTGTGTGCTACATTATCCTGTGCTCCATCCTTTCTGTGCTGACTGCAGTCAGAGTTGCATGCTTGGCTCCTGCTGGGGTCTTGGGTAGATGTGTGTGGCCCAAAGCAAGCTGGGGATGAAACTCTTTCAGGCAAGAAGCTAAAGTAACACAAATGCTCATTAACAGTGTTAAAATCTCTCTGCTAGGTGACATCTAGGTAGGAAGACAAAAGTAATGAAGTACTTAATAGCTGTGCTTGTGTAGAGCATGAGGATCATAGTCTGTCTAGAGGAGCAGCTCCCTGTAGGTATTTTTTTCCCCTCCTTGTCCCCATTGGATCCATTCACCTAATGACAGCTCTGTCTTGACTTCAGCTGTTCCTGAAAATACAGGTTCCTCACTAAGAGGACTGGAATCTGTTTCCCAGTGAAAGAGGACTGCAGGAGGCCCTAGGGTAGTGATGGATGTCTACTTGATGATTTGCTGTCACAAGACTGATGCCATCACATCTTCACTGATGTTAAAGAGATGACAACTGTGCATGAGTTGAAAAGGTGGTGGAGGGAATACTGAAGAGGCCACTGGAGGAGCAGCGGCTCTACAAAGATGACCAGCTGTTGGAAGATGATGATGACAATAGGACTTTGCTAGACTGTGGCTCAAGCAGCCAAAGCTGCCATTCTCATGTTCATGCCATGGTGGGCTTGGCTTTACTCAGACCTGGTAATGGAACCTTTGGACCATTGCGTATTGACCCCTTCTCAAGCACCTCAGAGCTGCCTGATGTTATGAAGTCACAGGAGTCTGGTAGCAGCTCTAGTGAACAAGCCTTGTGCTAAAACCAGCATCTCCTGTTTTGCCTCTTGCAGACAGGGTGCTGGTCTTGTCTATGTATCCTGCGTCCATCCACACCCTTCCAAATGTGTCCATTTGACCAATAAAGCATTGTAATTCAATTGCATGATATCAGTGTGCTGTAGTGTCCGAGCAGCCTGGACTGTTTCCTGGGATCCTTCTCTCAAATTAGCGCTAGAGGAGGAGGGTGGCAGCAGATACATGTGCTCCTCCTGAATTGTAAATGGCGTGTTCTGCCACTTGTGTTTTTCCAGCCAATGCCTGTGGCCTTATCAGCTCTGAGCTGCTAGGGTTTTTTTGGAGGAAAGAAGTGTTGCACAGTCTGTTGGTATACAAGCATTTGTTTCACTGTCTTCATTTTGACTTCTGACAGTAGTACCTCTGAGAAGTTTGGCTAGAAATCTTGGAGCACAGACATGCAGAAGGAACTTCTAGTCCTGCCTGTAGCAAAATCTTCAGGAAGACTATAACCTTAAGATCTGAGCAGAGGTAAAGTTAGCAAATAGAGCTTATTACCTCCAAAGTTAAGGGACGCTGCACTAATACAATGCACAACGATGAATTTCTAGAGTTGACGTGAAGTACAGTTACTGGCATGGACTGTTGAAAACCTCTGTCAACTGGGCAAAGATTTTTTTTCTTCAAAGTGTTAGGAGTTTACTTTCTGGCATCTGCTTTCTCTATTCTTGAAAGGCAAGAAAAATGTGGTGGGAAAAGGGCAGTATAGCCAGAAACTGATAGAATGAAACTGCAGTTTGAGAGGTTTGTAAGAAAGAAGTTGGGTACTATAGACATGAGATCAGTCCTATTATGCTATTAATGCTATCCTATTAATGCTTCTGCTGTTAAGAAAGCTTATGAAGTCACTTCTCTTCCCAAACAGAATTGACCTCAGCACTTTTTTTTTCTGTGAACCAGATTGTCTATTTCAGAACTAGTATTAGACTTTCCCTTTCATCCCTAGTGATTATTTCACAAGCCATCACATCTTACTCAACTCACTCTGTGCTGCACGGGGGAAACTCCTGGTTTTGCTCTGTGTTAACAATCAGAGGTGCTAATTCATCTATTCCCTCAGTGAAGCTCTGAAGAAGTGTTATTGTTAAGTTTTCATTCTCCTGTATCAAGGGTAATTCAGGCAGGCTAAGTTCAAAAAAACACTCTTAAAACTACTCAGACCTGTCCATGATATCTCCTTGGAAGTTTCTCTCTGTACTGATAGACTAAAGACGCTAAAATGCTGCTTACGTTCCTAAACCTCGCTGGAGCAAACAGAAATGGAGCTCAAGTCTGCCAGCTGAATCAGGATCTTGTGTTCTTTGTAGCTCTGACTTAATCCATCTGCTCCTTCCAGCACAGGAGCGCTGTGGCAGAACTAGAATGCCATCTAGTGACTGTAGTGAATTTATAGGAGAGAAAAAAAGAACAATATAAACAAAAACCTCAGCAACAACAGAAAAAGAGTTCCAGAGCTGTCATATGTGTAGATAAATAAGCTGCACCAATATAGCTGGGCTGTGTTTAGAGCAATCCGCTCGATCAAGCTCCTGATATTTCCCACTAGGCTTGCTGAAAACCTTGGGTCCTCTCTGAAATTCTTGGCTGGCAGTGAGCACCAAGCAAAGCATACAGGCATGCCACTCTCCATTTCTCATACAGTTTTGGTCATTTGAACTTTCAAACTCTCTACTGAAAAAGAGAGATAAGAGTCCCCCATTCAGAAGAGATACTTGGAAGAAAGTGAAGGGAGATGTTAATGAGCAGTATTGCCTGCTCAACCGAAATTATATCCTAAAACCATAGGCCTGAGACCAGCCATGTAGCCAAACCAGATGCTGAACTTCTAGGTGTTATGCTCACAAATGTCTCTGCCAGCATTCATAATAATGTTACAGAGTTGCTCTCTTATCTAATGCATTTGTATAATTTGCTGTTAATATTAGAGAATGATACTCTATGCTTTGAATGTACCCATTCAACACTCTGCCTTACACACTCAAATACTACAAACAGGAACAAACAACTGAGCTGGAAAAAAGAGACTTTTGTTAAATAATCCAGTCTATGACTTCAAGAGTCTAAAGAATTTTGGGTGAATACTGCACTAAGCTAGACCCCTGCTTACCTCTCCTTGGCCGTCACCTTTGGTACACAGGACAGCATCCCTTTGTCCAGGAGAAGGGCAAGAGCAGGAGAGCACCTCAATAAAATAAGATTTTGCAGCCCCCAGGAAGCTTCCTCCGTGTGTAGGACCTGGGAAGACTAAGGGATAGTGCTGTTAGGAGAGATCAAGCAAGTCCCAAAATAGGAACTAAAAAGGGAAGGCAAAGTGCCTCAGGGATCTGTTGAGACTGTAACTTGGCTCAGGGTAGCATGTTAGGGAAGCTACATGGTCCCAGGCTGGTATTTCAGCACAGTCCAGCTACAGTGTCCTTTGTACAGTGGACTGTGTTATACAGCTTAGGGAATGAATCCTTTCACAGTCTCTGAGCCATTATAGTTACCTGTTAAACAAAACTGCTTGTTTCTGTCTCTGTAGATTTGCCCCATCTTTAGCAGGCAAGGGCAGCAATGGAAGAAACCTCTGGAATTACAGTGGAGAAAATACTGAGATATTTTGAAGTAGGTTATCATCTCGTGGTGCCGAAGGACTGCAGTTTATCAGTGCATAATGGAAATCTACTTGAAGTATTGACTATACAAAAGCACTGAAGCCCTGGAGAAGTGTAAAAAGCATGGGTCAGTGGCTGAGACCTAAATGCTGAAAGAAATGAAATGTGAAACAGAATTTTTGGGGGTGGGGAGAAGTGTTAAAGTAACCTGGCTTTGCTCAGTATTTTACATTGGTCATATGACTTGTGTGTTCTGGAGTTTCATGTAAATACCTATTATAAAGCCAGTCAGTTTGCCCTAAAATAAACCATAACTTGGTCCAGGGAAACATGCACACAAGAATAGATTTGAACAGAAGTGTTCAGGCTTTCAAAAGGTGCCAAGGCAAACTTTCCTGCATACCAACAGATGAGTTAACTAAGAGTAAAGTGAACAAGCAAAATAATCATGAACTGAATTTATCTATGTTTTTAAAATTGGCATGAAGCAGAATGTGAGCTGCAAATCTCTAGCTTCTTTGGTATGCATAATGTAAATGAGATGCACTTTTCTTGTTTATGATTAAGTTGGATTTTATGTTTAAGATTGGGGCAAAAATCTAGAGGGACCAGTGCCAGCTATCTGAAACAGCCTTCAGGGCTAGTGGGAGAGCTGCGTGCTACCAGGTGGAGAGCAGGAAACTGCAGGTAAGAGAGCACACAATCTCTTCTGCTCTGCCTGGGCTGTGTTGCCTCCCAAGGTTCTGCAGAGTCTCTTAAACCTTTAACTCGTCAGGACAACTGAGGAAACTTTTATGTGAATGTTTCTTTTCCACTCTGCAGAGCTAGTGGTGTTACGGTCTAAGGCTTTGAGGGTGAGGGGGATGTATTCTTTGCATGGGACTCTAGCTTTGTGTATTAAAGTAGTGAAATGCCAAGACAAAACATCCCTTAGCAAAAGTGGGAAGAGCAAAGCAGAGCTTTGTATGCTCTATCTCTGCTTTCTCAATTTTGAAGGTTTTGTCATCCTCCCACAGCTAGGCTCCTTGCTACAGAAGGGAGCCAAGTCCCTGCTGTGCTTCTGGTGTTCCAAAACTAGATGCAATAGGCAACATCATCTGTTTCCATGTTGAAACTTGGAGCAGATAAGAGAAGAGCAGACTGCTCCCTGGACGATTTTTAGATTAGACATGAAATGAGTCTTTCCAACTTCTGCATAACAGACAGGATAGAACCACATATTGTAACAAGACTTCGCAGATGGTGGAGAAAGGTGCTTGCGTGGATTTAAAATGTGGTTAAATAGGTCTGGATCATGTAGGAGTGCCGGTAAGGCTGGCTTTTCTGGAATTTGGGTGCATAGGTCTACTCAGCCTTAAAAAGGAAAGTAAATCTTTGATCACAGCTTACATAGGACTTGGTGTTCTCTGTGGACGTGCCTTACAACTGAATCTGGAAGTCTCTTGCAGACAAAGACATCCATAGAATGGTTTGAGTTGGAAGGGACCTTTAAAGATAATCTAGTTCTGCTCCACCTGCTGTGGGCAAGTACATCAACAACCACTAGATCAGGTTGCTCATAGCCCGGTCCAACCTGACCTTGAACACTCCTAGCGATGGGGTATCCACAACTTACCTGGGCAACCTGTTCCAGTGTCTCACCACCCTCATAGTAGAGAATTTTTTCCTTGTATCTAATCTGAATATACCCTCTTTTAGTTTAAAACCTTTACCCTTTGTCCTACTGCTACAGGCCCTGGTAAAAAGTCTCCCTCCATCTATGCTGCTACCCTTCCTGTGTCACCTCCTTTGGTGGAAACTAGAAATAGTAACCTTACAATTCCCATGCACCATAGTGCAATAGTTTCTCAAAGTATTTCCTAGTCCTCTAACATTCACCCTGAAGTGTTGGAGTCTGTGCTAGGCATGGTGTCATTAGAAGATGCCTTCGTACGTGCTTTCCCTTAGCACAGGCATGCAAAGGGAGGTAAACAGGCCCATGGCCTAGCTGCTAATAGGGACAGTGTCTCCAAAGCAATGTCACTGAATGTGGATAGATTGTTTTGTGAATGGTGAGTCTTAAGCTTTCCAAGCAGTTGCGAGTGGGAAGCGGAAACAGAAGAGGCACGCTAGTATTTCTGCTTGCAGTCATTGTGTCAGCCACTTTTCCCAAGAAACACATGTGCTTTGTGGCAGGTGAATAGTGATTGTATGCGCAAGTATGTGGCTGCAGTTCCAAAATGGTTCTAACCCAACTTCAGCATCCTTGGCAGGTGCTGAAGGGGCTGAACCCGGTCATCCAGAACAATGAGTTGGACCAGAACACTGGAAAACAAAATTTTGGTGCTAGGGTAAGGATGGCAGTAGCTAGAGGTAATTAGGAAAATAACAGCTTGCACAGGCACTGGATTAAACCAACTGGCTGGAGTCTGAGGTAAAGACAGCTTATTACTGCAAGAGCAAACCTAGTAAGAAGACAAGCTCCTCTTTGTGGGTGGGTCTCAAACAGCACCTGCTGCCAGGATGGCAATGACACAGAGAAAAATCTCTTTTATGCTGTATAAAAAAGGCTGAAGACTACTACACAAGCCCCAAAATAATGTGGTCACACTCCATTCCACTATAGCAAATCAGCATGGCCTCACAAATGCCTATCTCCTCTTGGCAGGCAAACTTTTTTGCTCTCTTTCATTGGATATTGGGACAGGCTGTGAATCTGAATGTTCTACCTGCTGTAAACTGCAAGATTCATATCTGAGAACACGAATCCTGTCTGTACACACATAGCAACTTTAAGATAAGGGATAGAATAATGGCTTGTTTTTTAAACTTCCTCTCATAGCCTTGTTGCTTGGGTAGAGTCCGTCTGAAATGACTCAGGAGTTGTAATGCTCCCAGCCTTTGGACAATTTCCAGACATTACTTAATGGGATGCCTCATCCGCTTCTACTCTGAGAGTACTGAAACTGGCAAACTTAAGCACACAGCGAGGAGCCCAGGGTAAATGGATTTCAGTGGACTTCATTCTGTTTCAGATCAGATTGTGATCTGCAGCAGAAGAGAAAAGACCGGTGCCCTTGAACAACTGGAGAAAAAGAAATTAGCAGACTTTAGTGATGCAGAAAAGGAATTAACTGAGGAAGGGAAAAAATGGCCTCCTCTTTTGGAAGACTGCACAGAACTTGACCTCTTGTATACAGAGACCCTAAACAACAAAGCTCAGCTTCAGTCAAATACAGGTCACAATTCCAGACTCACCAACACTTTCAGTTTAGGCTATGGTACTGCAGAAAAGGAATAATTCAGGGGTTCAGAAGCAGGTGTTTCCATACTGAACTTGGAATATCTCTGCAAATACTGAGAAAGTTTATACCACTGCCTTCAGAAATGTCATCAGAGCACATTGCTTTTTGGTTACTGTTATATTCTTAGTCTTTGTATTACCTAGCTTGTAGTCTTCCTGAATATAATTATGAAGTCTGGATCTTATTTTTGACTAGTTCTATGAAATCGTTCCTTATCACTAAGGGACAACTGATCAAGATGGATACAAATCATGTGCCTAAACAGTTGGTTACAAAGCTTGTTCCACAATGCACTGTAATTGACTATCTGCCCCAATACACCACAAGCAGGTCCCAGTAGCTTCCAGATATGGGTACATGTTAGGAAAAAACCCTAATTCAGCAGTCAGTTTCAAGTCAGTTTGGAGGTAAACTACAAAATAAATAGGTGTTGTAACAGACAAATTGTCAAACTAGCTCTGGTATGTGATCAAAATCCCACTGTCTAAAGGTAGTAAGGGAAGAGGTATCTTTTGTTCTCAAACTAAGGTATTTTGGGTGTTAAGCTCTGAACTTCTACATACAGCATCTTCCTGGGCTTCACAAGAACATAAGTTCAGTTACAACCTAATCTTGCATGTGTTCCTGGGCAGCCTGTTGACACCTGCCTTATCTGATGTGGGGCACAAGACCTCAACCAGTGTTGCACATTTTTTGGTAGCCTAGAAAAGAGAAAGTAGGACAGATGCAGCTCAAATAATGCAGAACCCTCTTACCTTTTTCCCAGTAGATGTAATTGTTACTGCTCTTGATGCAAGTGCCTTTTGGGCTTTGTGACATCTTTAGTCTATTTGCACAATGACATTAGCAGCTTTGACTTGTAAACTGCTGTATAAAGGATGTTACGGTGGGCCCTCTTCTGACAGAGCATGTAGCAGACAACTTAAAAAAAAAAAAAAAAAAAAAGCGTAACCAACAGGGTTGCCTTCCTGGGGAAGGAAGAAGGGAAGCAGAGGTGGAATAAATCACTGGAGTGTAATTCCTAGGGTCATGTGTTGCTTACCAGAGCACATGTTGTCAAGTGAGCTGACAGGAGCTGAGGTTTGCCTTGCCCCTGCAGACAGCAAGACTGGGCCCTGCTGACAAGGTGTGTGCTCATTCCATAACTTGAAATGAGGAACTATGGAAGCTCTGACACACTCTTTCTGTTACAGGGAAGTAGAGTATGGAGACATAGGATGCTTATAGTCACTCATGGAAAGAGGCAACTGAACAAATGTACCCGTAAAGATTATGAAGCAGCGCCCCAAGGGAGAGTTTATACCAGCACGTGTATCCCTCTCAGTTATTATTTGTGGATTTGCTGAGCTGCTTCCCTTTTTGATTCCAGTCCAGATCAGTCTCTCAGCCACAATCCTGCCCACTGGCTAATTTAGTAACTTGAATTTCTTAAAGGTTAATCTGAATAAAGGACCCTTTCTTTTACCCAAGCCTCAGGTTGAGGACTGGGTCTGCTGTGCTGTGGGTGCAATGGAAGTATAATGCTGGGTTAGACTGGATAGCTGGTGGCTCTTGCAGCCCATAGGTTGGTCAGTCTCCAGGGAACCATACGGGATAAAAGATCATCATATAAGGCATTGTCCTAGAAAAGAGAGCGTTCAGAAAGATTTTTAAGTTGCTTTTCATTTCTTTCCCATGTTTTTTGGAATGTTAATTCTTTAGGTTTCCATCCTCAAAGAAGAAAATAAGTCACATGAATTTCTGATTCTTCATCTGATTTTATTTTAGCTTTAAGATACAGTTGTGCACAGATAACAGAATATATACTCCCTGACACTGAAGTGTGACTGGAGAAGAATTAAACTTAGCTACTGAGGATGCTTAAAAATGTTGGCTTTAATTTCTGCTGTCAAGGAAGGAACAAGTCATTTCTTTCTTCATGGGAAAGCAGAAGGCAGGGAAACCGAGAGTCTTTTGTGAGTAGAGATTCAGTTTCATTATGTGTTAGGTTTTATGAGTAGATTTCACTCAACAGCTGCATTTTTCAGTGTGTTTGAATTTGAGAGAGAGAACCCTTAAAACAAAAAAGTAAATATCCTCCAAATCCACCATCCTCCTCTGTTAGCCCACCCACTCCTTGACTGGACATTCTTTTGAGTGATCATCTTTCTCCACTACTTTATAAATGCAGATGTCCTTGTTGAAAATGCTTACACACTTTTCTTCATCGTAGCTAACTGGTCTTACAAAGCTGTCATTGGGAAAAGAAAGACAAAGAGGTGATGAGAACAAGAAGTAAACAGCTTCCATTTCAGATGGTTGAAAAGTATAGACTTTCAATATGAAAAGTTTACACTGAGGAGGTGTTCAGGAGCAGAAAAAGGAACTCGCACAAAGCTCCCAGCTCAAAAGTTACTTAGCCTGCTGCTTAAGCAGGATTAGGGCAGTTGTCATTTAGTGATCTGATTTACACCCAAGGGATGTTTGTTGTGTTTATTTGCTACTCAAATATCATTGATTTTTCTTTTCAGCCACAATATGGAACAGGAATTGCATGAGTGGTTGGGTGTCGCTATAGTAAAAATTACAGGCAAGCCAGTGTATCTTGAGCTGCTTCTCAGAGTAAAGAGGGCTATGTGTGGCTTTGGGAAGATCTGGGTTAGGAGCAGTAGAAAATTCTTAAGTAACTATGTATTCTCTCTTGAATCAGTGTCTTGCCTCAAATCTTAGCCCCAAGAAGAATAAAGTCCTCTTTTTAAATCAAGAATCATTTTTTAAACATGAGCTATATTTGTCAGAGAAACTTCTTGCATGCTCAGTGATGATGATGTTGGATTAATGGATAACTTTGTGATATGAAGTGAGTGAGAGAAGGGTCACAGCTGTTTCTCAGGGACCTCTGTGTGAAGGGAAGTCCTTCGTGCTATATCATGGCAGTGGAGGAAAACCCCCACTCCCCACTGTTGCTCTGAACTCACCTCGAGCAGCACTCGATTCCCGCCCCAGAACAGAAGCAGTCATAGCAGTCTGCATTCCTCCAGTGGGAGCCAAATTCATGCAGCTCTCCATTCCCATCATGGCAGCCTGAAAACATAGTGTGCAAGCAGTCTGCAGTGTCAGACCTATTGCACTAACAACACTATGTTTGTACAAAATGGGTGGGGATCTTCATTGGCTTTTTACAATAACATCCCTATCTGGCAAACACTGAGGGTCCCCAAGAGAGCAGGACTGCTACTATTCTAATGCATGGAGAAGAGTATCCTGTGTCCCTCTGTTTCCTGTGGTTCCCAGGAGTGTTGGGTTTCCTGCAGTAGCTCATCTTTCAGGACAGGAATCGGAACACCCAGCAGAAAGACAGCTAGGCACAGGCCTGGTCAGAATTAAGAAAAGGCTTTGACTTCCTCCCTCATTAACACCAACTATTGTTGACTCCTCATTTAGAGCAAGACTGCTTGCTCTAGATTTACTTCCCGGAAAACTTTTCCCAATCCTCAGCTGCAGTAAGAAAGCACATAATGGGTAAAAAGTTCTTTTCCAACAGTCATGCAATTGCAGGCGACACCAAGCTGAGTGGTGTGGTTGACATGTCTGAGGGATGGGATGCCATCCAGAGGGACCTGGACAAGCTTGAGAGGCGGGCTCATGTGAACCTCATGAGGTTCAACAAGGTCAAGTGCAAGGCTCTGCACCTAGTGCAAGCCCTGGTTTGCTGGGGGATGAAGGGATTGAGAGCAGCCCTGCAGAGAAGGACTTGGGGGTACTGGTGGATGAAAAGCTGGACATGAGCTCGCAATGTGCGGTCAAAGCCCACAAGGCAAAAATGTATCCTGGGCTGCATCAAAAGAAGCGTGGCCAGCAGGTCAAGGGAGGTGATTTTGCCCCTCTGCTCTGGTGGGACCCCACCTGGAGTACTGCATCCAGCTCTGGAGCCCTCAGCACAAGAAGGACATGGACCTGTTGGAGGAGGTCCAGAGGAGGGCCACAAAAATGGTCCGAGGGCTGGAGCACCTCTCCTACAAGGACAGGCTGAGAGAGTTGGGGTTGTTCAGCCTGGAGAAGAGAAGGCTGCGGGGAGACCCTATTGCGGCCTTTCAGTACTTAAAGGGGGCCTACAGGAAAGATGGGGACAAACTTTTTAGCAGAGCCTGTTGTGATAGGACAAGGGGTAATGGTTTTAAACTAGGTAATGGTTTTAAACTAAAGGAGGGTATATTTAGACTAGATATAAGGAAGATATTTTTTACAGTGAGGGTGGTGAAGCACTGGCACAGGTTGCCCAGAGAGGTGGTAATGCTGTCTCTGGCAACATTCAAGGTCAGGTTGGATGGGGCTCTGAGCAACCTGATCTAGTTGAAGATGTCCCAGCTCACATGAGCAGGGGTTGGACTAGATGACCTTAAAGGTCCCTTCCAACCAAAACTATTCTATGAATAGACTTCCTAAATGAGTGATCTGGAAAGCAGGACTTTATGAGGACAGGACAACACAGAGTAGAGGATTTGGGGGTTCTAGGTTGTGTCTTTGCCTATAAATATGTTCTGTTTCTTTGGCAATGCTAAGTAACTTTTCTAGTAGGAGCAGCAGCTTTCCCAGAAAAAGCTATATTTTGGGGCACTCAGTTTATTTTGCATACTGGCACACATCAGTGCTTCTTGTGTCCAAATAATTGCATGTTTCTTTTGAGCACTTATTTTCCTGCACCTCCACTCTCCTGTAGACTGATAGACTGTGTTCAGGAAGAGCAGTCCCAGACCCAAGGGGAGCACCCATTCTCTTCTTAAGAACTTTCTTTGGGACAGGGAAACAACTAATGAGTAAACTGACCAATGTGCTGAACATCTGCTAATCTGTTTCCTGCTTTATACTGACCACACACACAGAGAAAAGCCCTTCTCCTCCCTTCTCTGTATTTCTAAATATGCTGCCATAGTGAAAACATGTATTATTACTTCATGCAGATTTATAAACTAAGCCCATGCTATTTCCCTGGACAAAATTAATTTGTAATTTGGCCTGTGTGATGCTTCTCAGATAAACTCTTCTTTTTTATAGCATATTATGAATTCCCTGCTCTCCATACCACATTTTGCCCTCATTTCCTAGTGATTTCTCTCCACTGTTTCCACTTATTTCTAAATTGTGATAAATTGCACCAAATGGACAAATAAAATCAGGCGGTGCTTGTGGTGATGTCTGTCAAGTTGAGGACATTTGATTCCTTACCTACGGCCTTGCCATCAGACACCTCTGCCTCCAATGGCTGAAAGAAGCAATCGGCGTCGGACACTGTCACACTAATGGCAAGAACAAGAAGGCAGGCCAAGATGGTTTTCTGAACAAGAAAGCAGAATTAATGCAAATATTTAAGTAACTATTAAGATGTCTTGATGATAAATACTACCATTAGAAACAGGAAAATACATTGTGTTTTGCAGTTTAGACACTTTAACACACAGTCAGGAATATTGAGTCATTTAGAAGGAGTAGAGGCAGCGCATCATTGGGGGTGAGGGGGGAAATCTGCCTTTCCAAGCTGTTAAAATCAAGCATTGCCTAATACAGTACTGAGACTCAGATACTGTTTGTGAAAGGAGTGTGTTCTATTCCTTTCCCCTCCCTGTTCATTTTTCTTGTCATTATTTTCTACATAAGATTGGTAACCAACTGTCTCTGCCACTAATGTCACTCATAGTTGTAAAAACTTCACTGGAGTCTGAAGAACCCACTGGATGTTTCACCCTAATATTGAAGGATCAGGAACAAACTGAAGAACTTCAGGTGAAGTTGAACCCCCAAGATTTGGCCCTGTTTTGAGCAGGAGGTTGGACCAAATGACCTGCAGGTGTCCCTTCCAACCTAGATAATTCTATATCTTCTGACCTTTGTCAGCAGCTTTTTCTGAAAGTTCATCTTGAATTCCTCAGCGAGTCCCTTATCCTTCGATATTAGTTTAAAATGTTTGAAGGCCTTTCACTGGGGCTATGAAGGAAATAAGTGCAAGAACTCTAGGGTGAAATTAACTGTGATGAATTTAAAATCTTGGTAAGAGAGGAAAGGTAGACCAGGAATAAACAATGACATACCCACACATGTATATTGTATTTAACATGGCTTTTTTGGACAGAGTAGAACTGGTGACTTGTAAAAACAAGTCATATCTGAGACATGGGAGGAGGGAAAACTAGCATTTAATTTTTCAGAGGAGAGGTCAAAACCCACAGAGCTGCAAATGAGTGAAAATCAAGATAACATTTTTGAGTTTAACTAAATGTTCAGACATTATCCAGACTTTTCACAAAAATTAAGGCCAGTTCTATGTTGAGGCACAGCAGAGCTGCCTTCTGCCAGAGAGGAGATTGCCTCCAAACATTACAAGTGAAAACAGGTTATAATAAAAAGCCTTAGCTGAAGTCCTATTAGGCATCTCCTGCCATATACATGCTGATAACTTTTACCCAAGGTTCTTACCTGCCTGTGCCTATCTGTCTGACTTTTTATGTCTCAACACACAGAATTTCTACTTTCTCTGAGTTGTTTAGATTTCTGAGTAATGAGATAAATCCATCAGAACCTCCTTTAAAATATATAGCAAAATACCATAGTCTTTTACAGTATAAGATGTAAGGACTCACCATTCTTGCAGAATTATGAGGCTTCCAGTAAGGTGACAACCTGTAAGAAGCTCACCTTCTCAGAGAACTTTATATAGAGGGAATTTAGGATACCAGACCTTGAGCAAACTGAACATACATGAATAAGTCCAATAAGGTTTCTGCAAAATGACTTCATGGGGTGGACATTATTAAAATAAGCCAATTATATACAGGAGGGTTTGGTTCTGAAAGGCACTGAAGAAATAGGTGTGGCTTTTGTGCCACACCAGATGTGGAAGGCAGTTATGGGAGGTACTTAAAAAGGAATTTCAAGCCTTGAAGGAATATTAGCACTCACCCTGAGAAACCCATTAGAGACGTGGATGTCACAACAAAATTTGTATGCTTAGTTTGAACCATCTAGGTTTTAAGAGATGAACTTTGAACAATCATTCAGCTTTCTTGTTCATCAGCTGAAGATGAAAGAAGGCTTTTGTGGAAAAGGAGCAGTGGTTGGAAGAGTTGTAAAGCAGGATTTCTGTGCAGAGTGGCTGGCATCTGTAGGCCCTTAGAAAAGGGTCCTAGGTAACCATTTTCTTCCTTGTTCAGTTTTCCACCATGTAGAAGACCCATATGCTCAGGTCCTCTGTGAGTGGGGAAAAAAAATAGGTATTGTATATTTTCATCCTTGTAGCTGGGAAGAAATGGTCCCTTTTCTGCATGGACTCTTTCCAGCTGTATGTGTCAGGGAGAGACCTGCTTTCCAAATGCTTACGACAGTGATTTGATAGCAAAGGAGTCAAGTACAGTCCCCTTTTGCTTAGCTTTGATCTAGTTTGCTCAAATATTGCAAACTGTGTAGCCCTGGTAGGGGAAGAAGTTTTCCCCTTATTACCAGGGCTACACAGTTTTCAATACTTGAACTAAATACCCTGGCTGCCTAATTGTGTTGCCTTATTGTGTGGGTTTGAGAGTTGAGGTTGAACTCAAGCTGGGGTGGCTACTCCATATCTTCTACCTAAGTTCCGGAGTTGAGGGCTAGCTCAGGAAGCCCATGTGAGAAAGCCATCATTATTGCAATGCATGTCACAATGAGACCACCACTCACCGGGACAGCCTTAGCTGGCTTTCAACTCAGTACGTTGGGTAAATTGGTGTTTCTTCAGTTACCAGCTCTTTCTTCAGCATGGCAGAAAAGAGCTGAAGTGCTTGCAGGTATCCATAGGTTTGATTAAAGCTGCCCACAATGAGCCTAACATTAATAAGTTAGTTTTGGCAATGCTGATGTAGGCACTGCCCTGAAACAGGAGATGACTAACACCACAGCCACACAGCTTAGCCTTTGTCTCCTAATCACTGGTAAAACCACAGAACATGTCAGACCATGAGCACAGGCACTGGAAATATCTTTACTGACATTGACAGAGTCAAATGTGCCCTTTGGATCTCTCACAAATATGTATGGAGCCAATTTAACAGCATCATTGTAGTTTGGGATACTGTCGGTGTTTCAGAGAAGGTATTTCAGAGAATTTTTCTACTAAAGGAGGGGGGAAAGGCTCAGTAGGATAACAAAGTAATACACTCTGATCCTAGACCAAAGCTGCCTTTTGCGCTGGTTGCAGTGAAGATGAAGAGAGTTCACACTCTCCCTTCTGATGTCCTGTTCCTATGCTGCCTGACCTAATTGATTTATATCTGTGGGATGGCTAAGGATGGGCCCTGGCTTTGCATGCCTGCTCTTTGTAGCCTTTATGTGCTGACAAGTAACTATTTCACCTTGGCTAAAATACTGTGGGAAGTACCACAGAGTCTTGTTCAAGATACTGGTTCCTCTATGTCTTCAAAGGTAATGTGGAGAAAGTATTTCATGATAGTTTGGAAGAAAATGACCATAAAATTACGTTGTCTTAATTCTGTTACTGAGCCTTTTAATTTTTTTCTTGCATTTTGTGGGGTTTGCATGCAATATTCTTCTTGACAGGCACGCTGCAGCAGTTTTTGTACGTGAACAAAAGTCACCAGACACATAGCAATTTATGATCCTGGTGTACTGCAGTGAGACTTGTGGAATTTGTTACAGCCAAAACTCAGTCAACTTGCTGGTTTGTTGCTCAACTCCTGCC